ATCACGGGAGGCAGGAGTATAATTCAGTGTTTCCAAGAGAAGAGAGAGTATCTATCATTCAGGGCTGAATGGTGGAGTGCTTGTTGCTCTCTAACTTTGGCTGTTGGCCTCAGACGTTTCATTACCCAGTAAGGCAGGGGGTCTTCAAACGTGGCCCTTTTATGACTTGTGGACTTCAACTCCCAGAATTCCTCAGCCAGGGTTTGGGAGTTGAAGTCCACAAGTCATAAAAGGGCCAAGTTTGAAGACCCCTGGCCTATACTGTAAACCAAAACCCTCAGGTGTCTGGGACGTGCCTGGCTGAGGAATTCTGGGAGTTGAAGTCCACAAGTCATAAAAGGGCCAGGTTTGAAGACCCCCTGCAATAAGGTAACATCATCAGTGCCCCGTCTTCTCGTTCAAGCAGGACCACGTAGCTCCAGCCTCGAAAGCAGCACTCTGGGTGCAGCGATGATGTTATCGAGGTGGGGAATGAAACATCTGCAAGCCAGCAACCGAACCCCAAGAACTCCACAGTATTAGATGCATTAGCTTCATGTATAGTTTCATATATAGATGTAGTACACAGAATGATAGGAAGGGACCTTGGAGGTCTTCTAGTCCAACCCCCTGCTCAAACAGGTGTGTAATGTGTGTGTGTAATATGTATGTGTGTATACATATATATACACATATGCATATCTAATATATATACCTGTTATACACATGCACAGAGGCAAAGTGTAAAAATATAACAAATATATAAAATAAAACAGTAATTGCAGTCCCACGTCTGCAGGCTGATAAAGCTGAGGATCACCTCTCCAGGGACAGGAAATGGTAGCTTAAAAGGGGACATATTTATTTATTTTACGGACTGATTTATTCAACTGATATGGGCAGAATGAAAATAAAATGAAAAACAATTACAAAACTTACAACACAGTACAAAGCGGCTCAGTGATCAGCACAGTACAAACTAAGCGCAAAGAAGCAGCGGCGGCCAGATACACGCGCCGCCCCTCTTGAGGTGCCGCAAATGGACGCGGGGAGAGGCAGTTCACACGACCCAGCTGACCGCGGGTCGCTTGCGGGAAAACCTGACTCTCCCCCCCCGCCGCCCCCTCCCCCGAGCGCCAGGCTCGGATAGCTTTTAAACTGGGTCCGTCTTATGCTTCGGGCTACCGCCCTCGGCTTAGGGTGCCACAGAAGCGGCTCCGCTCGCTCCCGAAGCGGGTTAAGAGCGTCGCGCCAACTCCCTCACACCCGCTCAGAGAGAGAGAGAGAGAGAGAGAGAGAGAGAGAGAGAGAGCGCACGCGCTTTCCGCTCGGCCGGCCGGCCTGGCGCCTTCCGATCTCTATGGTAACAGGTGGCGCGGGGAGGGGGGGAGAGAAAAGAGAGAAAGTCAGACGGAACTTTCACTCCCCGGTCACCTGACCCGGCCCCGCCGGGGTCACGTGACCGCCTTTCCATGGTCGCCATTTTGAAGCGGGGGGCTACCGCAGAGAAGAAGAAGAAGGAGGAGGAAGGAGAGCCGGGGTAGGAGAGGGAAGGGCAGGGGAAGGGGCGGCGGCGAGGACGGGGGTGGGGGGCGTGGAGGGGCGGCCAGCGGGGCCGGGTGGGGGGCAACCGGGAAGAAGAGGCAGCCGGGGGAGAGAGAGAGAGAGAGCAAGGCGTTGCAAGGAGGGGGGGAGCTCGAAAACCGCTCGCCTCTCTCCGCGGCTCATCCGGAGGGACCCACCGGAGGAGGGGCTGCCGTTTTGCGGGAGGGATCGGCGCTTTGGGGTCTCCCCGGAGCCCGTTTCGCCCAGCAGAAGGTGATCCTCTCCACCACCATCATCACCCCCCCCCACCCCCGAGGGCGCTTGGCGTGTTTCCCCGCGGCTTCCTCTCCCTCGGGGTGACCCCCCCGAGGTTGGGCTCGCTGCGTGCAGGGCAGAGACCCAGAAAAGGGGCAGATTCACTCCTGCGGACAAGGGCGTCGTGGAAACCGGCGGGTCGTGGGTGAGGGGGGCTCTGCACGGTCCGATCCTGACGTGCGTTTTTCCCTTCGTTATTCACCTTTCTCTCCACCCGCAATAAGTGGACGCGTAGAATAGTACTTTTCCATTCAAACCTTTTGAAGGAAAGGTTTTCGACCTCTTTCCTCGATATGACACGTCTCCAGGTATCTGAAATTACAGTTACAGCCTGGCTGGGAATTACAGCCTGGCTGGGAATGTTTGGATTTGTAGTCTAAACCCATCTGGAGGTGGGGAGGGGGGAGAGAGACTGGTCGAGCCTGTCAAACTCCTTCCTTAATGGTCAGTTTGTGAAAATTCTGTTAGGCGGTGGGTTTTTTTCCAGCCTTTTGGTGGGCAAATGCACCTGGCCTCCAAGACTTTTTCTTGTTTTATAGTTTTTTCCCACAAAAATCCTCCCGATTGGTTTGCAATTGATGGGTAAAGATGTTGTGTGAGCAAGTGATAACTGCCACGCTAATAGAAGATTTTGAATTAAATTGGTGTTCCATATTTTAAAAAAAAGAATTAAAAGCTACTGCTTTACAAATCTATGTGATCAGAGACATTTTTTGTAATTTCATAAAAGGATTTTAGTTGGCTTCAGCTTCTCATGCATTTTGCATACATCCTATATATGTCCTTCCTTGTCCTCTTCTGCCTTGAAAGCAAAACATTACTTTTAAAATCAATTTCCTGTGAAAATTAGCCCATTATTAGCTTCCATTGAATTGTCACATATAAAAGGCTAGTATGAATATACCTAGTTAGATTTAGGGTATCTCAGGCTATAAAATTCTAATAGAGGAATTGGAAACCCAGGATTCTCCACTCTGTTGTCCAAATTTTTATTTTATTATTTTTTAACATAAGAAGTCATCACTACCACATTCCAATCCATTTAGACTGTTTGAGTGAAGTATTATTAGAATTTTACCCTAGATGGATCAATATATTATTTATTTAATTCTGCCTTGCATTTAACAGCTCAAGGCAATAGACACAGTATTCCCTCTACTTATTTTTTCTTGTGGGTAGGTTGGGCTGAGAGAAAGTGACTTCCCAAGTCTCGTAGTGATTGTTTGGCTGAAAGTGACTTGAATCTAGATTTCCCTGCTCCTGGTCCAATATATCAATGATTATGTTATGCTGCCTCTCTAAGCTGCAGACAATCTATAAATTGCAGCTGGCCATGAATGGTGGCATGGATAATGATATCGTTAAACAGATTGCTGCTTACTGATTGCTTTCCGAGCTAATTTAAGATGCTCAGTTTGGTGTGCAAAACTTTCTATCATAGCTGAAGGCCCCGTAGGTAATTTGCCCTAAATTATAGAAGACTTTGTGAACCAGTTTGGTGGGGTGTTTAAAAACACCCAAACCAGGATACCTTTCTAGTTCTGCTTTAGGCTCAAAGCCAGCTGGATAACCTTGGACCAGTTACTCTCAGCCATTGGAAGAAGATACTGGTTGTCAAAGCCACCTCTGAACATGTTGCCAGCAAAACGGCAGGGTCTCATCCAGGCCGTTGCCAAGGATCAAGACTGATTTGAAAACGAATATAATAATAGGCTTTATGCATGCCTCGGTCTTTAGTAGATTACATTTTATTTCTAAAATAAAATAATGTTGCATGATGCTGTAGAAAAGATGGATTTCTTTCCTCTCTTCTAAAGAGATACTTAATCAACTATATTTTTGTCCCAGATTACGGCCATGAATGTTGTCAGTTAGCATGAGGAGAGAATCCACAAGGAAGATGCAAAGGCTCAACTGACAGCTGTTCTGATGAACGATGCTGTGCACTGGCACGTGGGAATATCAGCAATAATCGCCTGTAATAATAGAGCAGAAGAGCAGCTAAGAAGAGAGTGGCGGCTGGCAAGACAAAAAAAATTGTCTCTGAAACCTTTCCCTTTTAAACCATCTGTTAGACTGGCAAGAACCTGGTAAGCCCATCATGTGAAGATGATGGTGATGATGGTGTCCATTCAGTCATGTCCGACTCTTAGTGATTCTTTCGGCCAGGTCTCTCCACATCTTCCAATCTTGCACTATTTCTTTGAGTTGTTCTGTGTGTCTGGTTGGTGTGGTTTTCTGTGGCCTGGTTTCCTTTTACTGCTAGCTCTTCAAAACGCAATTGCTTTCTCCAGTGAATTCTCCCACATGACATGGCCAAAGTAAGTCAGATGCAGCTTTGTGATTTTGCCTTCTAGTGATAGGTCTGGTGTTATGTGCTCCAGTACTTGTTAGTTAGTCCTCTCTGCTGTCCAAAGAATACGCAGGAGCCTTCTCCCAGCATCACATGAGAAAGATCATTTTTTAATTAAAGAAGCATCCTGTTCTTGTAGTTCAGACATGTCAAACACAAGGCCCAGGGGCCGGATGCGGCCCGCGAAGTGGTTTCATGTGGCCCGCGAAGCCATCCTGGAAACAGTGAGGGAACGGCCCCCGTTGCCTTGGCCCTGGCCCAGGCCGGCCGGGAGCCAATGTACAATTTTGTGGTGGCCATCTATGCTGAAATGCATTCACAAGGCCATCTGGAAACAGCGAGGAACCAGCCCCTGCCGCGTCGGCCCCGCCCCCTGGGTGCATGCTGGGGAGGTGTCACCCTTTATGAGGAATGAAGAAATGCACCATCGCCTGGAAGTGGCCAGCAAATGGCCCTCGCCTACTTCACATATCCAGCTTAATGGGCTCTGCCCTGGTCCCACCCCCTTCTGCCAGAGACCCTCAGATCTGTCCCACTCCTACCTAGGCCCCCACAGGCACGCTTGACGCGAACGATGTAGAGCATGCCCACCCAGTAGGCCGCACCCACTCTATCCACGCGCAACCAGTAGGCCGCACCCACCCTGGCCACACACCCCTGCCCCCCCCGAGGGCAACCGCAATGCTGATGCGGCCCTCAATGAAATTGAGTTTGACACCCCTGTTGTAGTTAATCGCACCTACTTCAGCTTGCTGATGATGAAAGAGGCCATTTATTGTTTGTTTGTTTATTGCCATTTTTAGGTATTATGGAAGAAGGCAGTAACATCATTGCCCTAATCTCAAATCTGAGGGAACAGGAAGCCGTCCTGATTTCCGAAGCCATCGTAAACTCATCCGCAGAGAACGCCGATGACCCGCTGAAGTGTAAACCCGATCCCCTCATCCAGGTCATTCAGAAGCTCAGCAAAATTGTCGAAAGTGAAAAGTCACAGAAATGTGTTTTAATTGGGAAAAAACGCTTGTACCCTGACACCACCAACCTTCCAGAGGTCCCATCTAAAGCCCTGGAATTGCCTGCTTTGGGCACAATCAATATAGAAGACTATTACACGATGGACAGTCCTCCGCTGAGTAAAAGGAAGGTCCTTTGCTACCAGTGTAGTCTCTGCAAATCCGTGTCGCCCACCCTTCCTCTCTTAAAGGAGCACATCAAGCAACACGGTCAGCAGAACGAGGTCGTGCTTATGTGTTCCATGTGCAGTTTCACCACCCGGAGCGTAGAGGATTTTGAAAGTCACGTTCGAAGTCACCCAGAGAACAACAGCAAAATCCACACCACGTCGAAGGAACCGCATGGCACCGGCCTGTCGGCTACCGCTTTGCCTGAGCCAGTAGAAAAAGTCACAATCGGCACAGATCAAGGGACGCCGCCACCCCAAGTGCCCGAGAAGGGGAGGCGGAAATGGTACACCTACGAGCAATACGGCATGTACCGATGCCTGATTTGTAGCTACACTTGCGGGCAGCAAAGGATGTTGAAAACGCACGCTTGGAAGCACGCGGGAGAAGTGAACTGCTCGTATCCCATATTTGAGGAGGAAAAAGAGCAAGCCACCTTGCCGGATTCTGCCACGTTGGACACCGTCGTCCTTTCCCTAGAAAACAACGAGCAGGGACTCGGCAACAACCAGCCTGTTCAACTTCGCATTTGTAGCCCCGAGCCGGTGGCCTTCAAAACTGAAGAACCTGTCAAAGAAGAGTCGGCCCTAAGTCAGCCAACTGCGCTTTCACCTGCAGACAGATTCCTAGAGGAGCCAAGGTCGCATGAAGACCTGGACCAAGACCATTTGGGGGCCGACAGCTTGCTTTCTTCAGCCCAGAAAATCATTAACTGCAGCCCAAACAAAAAGGGCCATGTTAACGTCATTGTGGAACGCCTGCCCACCGCCGGAGAGCCCGTTTTGCAGAACGAAGCCATGGATAACGTCTTGCATTATTCCGTGGACGCCGGCCCTGAACACCCTCCGGCTGTACGGGACGTGTCGGGCGACATTTATCACATGGATAAGAATTCGATTGAAATCGAAGAAGTTATCATCGGGTGGAGCAGCGCGGAAAAGGCAGAAGGCAACATAAATCCCAGTCGAGCTAAAACGGCCAATGAAAATGCACCAGCCGCCCGGAGGAGAACCAATTCGGAGTCTCTGAGGCTGCACTCGCTAGCTGCCGAAGCCCTGGTTACCATGCCAATCAGAGCCGCGGAGCTTGCCCGATCCAGCTTGCGGGCTTTCGCCGATGTAAATCCTTTAAGTTCGGAGGCTGGGCCGAGGCTTCCCGAGGGCGGCTACTTAGGCCATTCTAAACGGCTTGCCTCCCTGAAGACGGAGGAATTGAGTAGCCTGAACCAAGAGGAGCAAGCTTTCGTGGAGCTGCAGAAGGACAAACCGGAGATCTCCGAAGGCCCCATCAAAATGGGCATCAGCATGTCGCTGCTGACAGTCATTGAGAAATTGAAAGAGAGGACGGACCAAAATGCCTCCGACGAGGACATTTTGAAGGAGCTGCAGGATAACGTTCAGTGCCAACCTTCGGGGGATGCCGGCGTGTTGGGGAGCAGTCTGGTGGAATACATCCCCGACGCGGATCGGCCTTTCCGGTGTCGCTTATGCCACTACAGCAGCGGCAACAAGGGGTACATCAAGCAGCATTTGAGGGTCCACCGGCAGAGGCAGCCTTATCAGTGTCCGATTTGCGAGCACGTCGCCGACCACAGCAAGGATCTAGAAAGTCACATGATCAACCACTGCAAAACCCGAATGTACCAGTGTAAACAGTGCGAGGATTCTTTTCATTACAAGGTGAAGAGCTGCGCCTGGGGTTAATCAAAGGCTGGGCCCAAACGGCCAGCTTGGGTGCTTAGAATTGTGCGAACGGGAGGGGTGGCACACTGGAGTCCTCTGCCTATTTTGTACAACCACAGCTTTGGTTTCTGATTGTGGTTCTGCTTGTGTACAAAACACAGAAGCTTAGACTACGGGTAGTCCTTGACTTACAAGAGTCCATTTAGTGACTGTTTGAAGGGACCTATGACCATTTTTCACACTAACGACCGCTGCAGCATCCCCACAGTCGCATGAGAAAAATTCAGATGCTTAACAAATGACTCACACTTACGATGGTTGCAGCGTCCCGGGGTCAAGTAATCAACTTTTGTGACCTTCTGACAAGTGAGGGGAAGCTAGATCGCTTAGCCACCATGTTATTGGCTGAACAGTTGCAATGGTTCACTTAACAATGTGGCCAAGAAAAGTTGTAAAATGGGGCAAAACTCACTTAAAAATTTCTCACTTGGCAAGATAAATTTTGGGCTCAGTTGTGGTCATAAGCTGAGGACTACCCATAACGGGGTTGGAAGGGACCTTGGAGATCTTCTAGTCCAGGGGTAGGCAACCTTGGCTCTTTTATGACTCGTGGACTTCAACTCCCAGAATTCCTGAGCCAGCCATGCTGAGGGAAAAGGGAGAGGTTTCCAAGCTGAGCCATGCTGGCTCAGGAATTCTGGGAATTGAAGTCCACGAGTCATAAAAGAGCCAAGGTTACCTACCCCTGGCCTAGTAAAAACCAGGGTTGAAAGGGAACAAATGTCAGGAAATTCCTCCTTCGTTCCAAGTGGGATCTCTCTCTGAAAGGCTTCCACTGCTGTTCAATTGTGGCTTTGAGTCATGCATTGACGTGATCAGCTCACTCACTGTCATTAATGCTCATGGAATAAAAGAATGCCCAACTGAACAACATTAACAACATTGTTTTAACGTGACAGTAACACTTATGCGACTGTTTTGTGTTCCAGAGTCAGCTGCGCAGTCACGAAAGAGAGCAGCACAGTCTCCCCGATACGTGCGCAACCCCGACGTTTGACGGCTTAGTGGCCTGCAGTGAAGCAGATGAAAGAGTTGGTACTGTCTATCTCGTTGGCTAGTTTTGTGGATTGGATTGGGTTCCCCTTGCACACCATGGCTCTCAGCTGGGTGATTGTGAGAATGGCCAGGGTGCACCTTCCCTCTCTCTCCTGGCGCCCTACTCAACTACTTGGCCTCTGCTGGCTGGCAGTTTCAGGCATTATAACCTGGTAGATCTAGATCAGGGGTCTTCAAACTTGGCCCTTTGATGACTTGTGGACTTCAACTCCCAGAATTCCTCAGCCAGCGTGCCTTATAAAGGGCCAAGTTTGACTTACAAAGGGCCAAGTTTGAAGACCCCTGATCTAGAGCAACATTTCTCAATCTCAGTTGACTTTAAGAGCTGTGGACTTCAACTCCCAGAATTCCACAAGTCTTAAAATTGCTGAGATTGAGAAGTATTGGAGAGCAGGACTCTCCAAACTTGTCAGCTTTAAGACTTGTGGAGTTCAACTCCCACGATGAACTCCTATTCAACTCTCCGGCTGGCTGGGGAATTCTGGGAGTTGAAGTCCACAAGTCCTAAAGTTGGCAAGCTTGTGGAGACCCCCTGCTCTAAAGGGTGCCAGGTTGCAAGTAGGCCATTGTAAACTCATCCTTTGCTTCCCCAGTTGCAAATAGAATCTGAATTCTCTTTGGAGAATTGAGAGAGAGAGGAATGTTTCTCGGCTATCCCTGTTTAAGCCCTCTTGTCATTTAATAATGATGATTTATTTGAGGGTGCAACCCTGGGTGGGAGATTCTCTTCCCTATTCCTTCATCTGGGTGCAGAGATCAGGGTTTGTCGGCCTTGTTTCTTGATTGCTGGTTGCTCAAAAAAAAAGGGAGGGGGCGTTTCCTGCCCTGTCTCGTATCTTAAAGTACCTTTTTATCTGAAAACCTCATGTTAGAAGCCTGCCTTCACTTGACACCATTTCCTGTTTAATTGCATTCATTAAATGAGAATGCTAGCTTTCCGAAGCATTTTGAAAGCCCTTTGCAATCAAATTAAGGTACAATTGCAGGAAAGGAAATCCTCTTGTCAAACAGATGCTGCCTCTATAAAAAAAAAAACGAAGTTTATGGCGCAGCATCTGCTTGCGTGTCAGTTGCTTGAGCAGAAACATGCCTTTCCTGCTTAGAAAAACCATCAGTGTTCCTGTTCACCATGGCTGCGTTTATAACATTAAAGGGATCCCCAGCGCCCAGGATCAGAGGGGGAAATGTTGGGTTGCTACGGAAAAAGACCCGCAGCTAAACCGAGATTGTCATACCTTGTTCCCCTTCCGAAACGTGTATGCATTAAACCAGGCCCTAAACCCCACCAGCTCAACTGAATCATTTAGTAAAAGGGAATGGGAGTGTGGCGCTTTGTCAAATTAACAAATTTAATCGGAGAGTTTTGCAGTGCACAATGCTGTAGGGGGGGGGGGGTAGTGACTACAGACACCAGCGTCAGGCACAAGTAACCCAAGGAGTAGGAGTTGAGTTCAAAGCACTTCAAGTTTATTACCTCTTACCTCTACACAAGAATCTGATCCACTCAAGGTCAAGACAAATTTGCCCTCGATAGGAGTCAAGAGAATTTAAAGGAGGCTGGACTTAGGTGTGTTATGGGAGCACAGCGATTTCAAACTGATGACACGTTTGATCCTGCCCTCGGGCTCAGCCTGGTCATCTCCTGCCTCCAGTCAATGATACATCCTTTGCCAGTGCCTAAGGCTTCTTCTCCTAAAGGTGCTTTTTCAAAAGGCAACCGGGCTTTTGTTTTTCCTTTGTTTTCCCTTCTCATCCAAGAAGCTTCTTCAGTTCTGACTGAACGGTGGAGGATGGAAGGAGTTATACTCCTTGCGGTCATCTGGTCGTTAGCACTCTTTCTGAGAGTCGTTGAGGCCACTTGGAGGTTTATCTGTGCCCTCGGGGTCCCCTGAATAGTGCAAATGGGTGTGTGTATATTGATATATCCTACCCTCCGGTTACACAAAGGGTGACTGTGACACAAACGGTAGTACAAAATGTGTCCAGTTTTGATCACAGCAATACAGAAATGGTATTGTCTAGAAACATTTAAGGACAGGGACCCAGGTTAGCTCTCTCTCTTTTTTTTAACCATTGGAGAAGGAACGGTGATTCAAGACAATTGAAATGCAGCATCCCTTAAAAGTTGTGGTGTTGAACGCTGACAATCTTCATGGTTGGAAAGGGCAAAGAGGCAAACACCGGGAAAATAAGGTTACCAAGGCCAGCCAGAGTTTCTCTCGATAGCAAGATAGGCAGCATATAAATTTAATAAATAAATAAGTGGCTAGTCAGCATGGCTCAGCTTGTCTTCCATAGTAGGAAAGTTATGATCCCTGTGTTTTATTTACAGCTTAGAGGGTTCTCACGGGTATCTAATTAGCCCTAGTAGAAACCCGGATTGAAGGGGAACAAATGTCTCCTGATGTTCTTATTCTAGGGGACAAGATCTCAGTTCAGAAACTTTACCGATGCGACATTTGCGATTACACAAGTACAACGTATGTTGGAGTGAGGAATCACAGACGGATTCACAACTCGGATAAGCCCTACAGGTGAACATATCTGCATTTCGATTATCCATGGCATTTAAGCCGGTTTTGTTTTGTTTGTTTGTTTGTTTGTTTGTTTGTTTGTTTGTTTTAACGGTTCCTTTGCAGCAGCCAGTGGGCAATTTGAAATATTCTGATTTCGAAGGAGGGCATAAATGATCAGGGATTTGTTCCTGAAACGTACTTAGAATCCTCCCGCCTGTTTCCTACGCTTCTGCTTGCCATAAATATAATCTCTTTTCATTGGCAGAATTCAAGCTTAAATTTTTACCCACTAAATTATCAAAGCAAGTGGATTAAGCCCAGGGTTTTAGAGAGTGCCAGCCCAAAGTCACTCTGAGGAACATTTTGGAGATTGCATTCCAAAGTAATGCAAGGGTTGAAATATAAATAAATTTATATCTGGGTTTTTTTTTTAATAAATTGTTAAATTCAGTTACAGGGCTACAGTCCGTATTTAACATAACATATATTTAATATTTTCCCCATTCTGTCATATTAAACAATTTGGCGATGTTTTTGCAAAGGCTGTGGGGTTTTCAGTGTCCGGCAGGCATCTGTCTCTCTGCTTCCTTCTTTGAATAGGTTACCAACATCTGGAAAGGACTTTTGACTAGTGACTTTGCTATTTTAATGGCAGCCATCTTTTGATAAACTTGACCAGCCTTTTGCCGATGGTCACTTCCAGAACTCCCCAATCAATTTTTTTCCTTGGGATACAAATTTTCCTTGTATCCCAGCAGAAAACGAGTTTGGAAGTAAAGGAGGTCCATGTTTGACTATTGGATTGCAAGTGATCAAACCTAGAAGCATTGCTAATGTTCCGAAACATTTTTATTTTAACTCTGGGGCATTCAAATACCAAGGGGACACAAGACTGCCGGAGTCCACCCTTCCTTTGTTTTTTGTTCAGGTGCCGCGTCTGTGACTTTGCCACAACGAGTATGAATAGCTTGAAGTGTCATATGAGACGCCATCCACAGGAGCACCAGGCAGTGCAGTTAATGGAGCAGTTCAAGTAGGTAACAAATAGCAAGACAGTAGCACCAGCAGCAATCTTGTTCCCTGGCTAAATAACGGAGTTACAGTTTTCAAGGTTTCTTTAGATCTGTTCTTATTGCTTGGTCTGTCCGCCTTTTTAGTCTTTATTCTGCGTTGCCATCAGCTACCTAAGAAGTATTTTGTTTTGGATGGCTTGAGTGAAGCTGCTGAGATTTGCAGTGTAGCTATATTTGGAAGACCACTCATCCTTTTTTTTTATCAACCATTGCATTCCAAAGTTCTCTCCTTGTCTCAGTCCCTTTTAACTGGAGTGCCATGCAGTTTCTGCTATTGAACTGTTCATTTGTTTCGCCGAATAATCTTTTGAAGGATTAGGAATCAGGATTTTTTTTTCCAATTGATAAATTATTTGGTATGTAGTACAGGTAGTCCTCGGTTTACAACAATACAACAGTTTTCTGACTGAAACGGCACTGAAAAAAATAGTAGTAGTAGTAGTAGTAATAGCAGTAATAATAATAATAAATAATAATAGTAACAACAACAATAATAATAATAAAGTTGGAAGAGACCTTGGAGATCATCTAGTCCAACCCCCTGCTCAGGCAGGAAACCCTATACCATTTCAGACAAATGGCTGTCCAGTCTCTTCTTAAAAACTTCCAGTGTTGGAGCATTCACCGCTTCTGGTTGTTCTGTCAGGAAGTTTCTCCTTAGTTCTAGGTTGCTTTTCTCCTTGATTAGTTTCCATCCGTTGCTTCTTGTACAATTTCTGCATCCTTAAAAGTCCATTTTACTAGCTAATCTTAGATAGGACTGTATATTTGCCCGGAGACAGACTTACTGTTAGGGAAGGTGCCCTGTAGAGATTCTTTAAAATGTTACTTAAACTGCAATTCCAGATAAGCCAAGTTTAACTGAAAATGGAGTACTGGTCTGCTTTGCTGTAGTATGTTTTTCACTTGCAATAACTTTTGCATCCTCTCGTTGTTATTTCAGATGTTCTCTCTGCGGATATGTATGCAGCCACCCGCCTTCCCTAAAGTCTCACATGTGGAAGCACGCAAGTGATGAAAATTATAATTATGAACAAGTGAATAAAGCGATTAACGATGCAATTTCACAAAGCAGCAGGTGCGTGCGTTCAGCAGTCCCTGTTTAGGTTTGTGACACCAGACTCCATTGAACACCACCACTGAAAAGATTTTAATCCTCTGGGTTTAGAAAAGAAACATCATTGTGCTGGACCAGCCAGTTAGCTTAAGAACTGTATGTTAGAATGTTTAGCATTTAAAGGGTTAAATGCTGTTTCCTTAAGAGATGGCTTATGGGTAATGTAGTTTTAGCTGTTCAGTGAATCCTATACTTATCTAGTGCTAGTCAGTGGAAGGGGCCACAAAGTTCATCACAGGATATCCTGGCTACCAGCCAGCTTGTAAAGAAAGCCTTTGTCTAACCCACCATGCTGCACGCATGGAGATCGTCCGTAACCACGCTAAGCTGATATGGAGAAATTACTGCCTTTTACCTACTCAAAATGGACAAATATACACAACCGGACACATCTTCAGAATAGTAAGTTTCTGCTAAGAATTCCTGGAATAAATATTTGTTTTAAAACCATTTTCGTTGAGTTTATGCTGTCTGGACAGAACTACAAGGCATCTTAGTTCGGGTTCCAGAATAATCATCCAAAATAGGGGATGGATGGAGAAGCTGGCCACTTATTTTACTTTTGATTTTATTTATTTATTAAATTTATATACTGCCCATCTGGCTGCCCAAGAAAACTCTTCTTATGCCAAACTTTTCGTTATCTTTATCTTGTAGGCTACTGGGTCAGCTGCCTGGGAAGAAAGTAACCAAAACTTTGGAAGATGATGCCAGTAGCTCCGAAGGCGTGTCTTTTTCAACTTCTCCTAAGCCGATGGAGAACAAAATAATGAGTTCAGACAACCATCAAGATCCAGCTTCTACCACCAATACCTCAAGCAGTTCAGAGAAGGCTCCAGGCCAGTCCCACCTTGGCTCAGAATACTGTGTTCTGCTCTTCTGCTGCTGTATCTGTGGATTTGAGTCCACCAGCAAAGAGAATTTGTTGGACCATATGAAAGAACATGAAGGGGAAATCATCAACATCATTCTCAATAAGGACCAGTCAGCAGCTCAAAGTGTAAACTAAATCAACGTTTCTCCACCTTAGCAACTTGAAGGACGCGTGGACTTCAACTCCCAGAGTTCTCCAGACAGTCCTGCTGGCTAGGGATTTCTGGGAGTTGACATCCGCGCATGTTCAAATTTGTCAAAGTGGGAAAACACTGAGCTAGACAAAGTTCCTTTCACTCCGGACCTCCAACTTTGCCTGAAGGACTTGCTAAATCAAAGAACTTAGGAACAAGCCTGTATGTATGTGTACATATTTATTTGCTCAAAGTGCAAGTCTTCGTTCCTTCCTCCATCTGAAGCCCTCTTGTTATTTTACAAGCTTTCGAAGAAACCATAACGTGAATAATGCTGCGTTTACAGTAAAAACCCAGAAGTTGTCTTCTACCCACTAGAACTATTTTTAATGCCTATTATTAACCCAAATGATAGTGACATAAGAGAATTGACCGTGAGGAATTAACAAAAAGGGATTTAACCTTTCTAGATGCCTAGACATGCATCTAGAGGGCATAAAATCTGCTTCAGGTAAGTTTGAAAGAAAACCATCTTGCTACGACCAGCAAGCAGCCATTTCTGAGGATGGAAGCCTTTGTTCGTTCTTAGGCTTCCCGTCGCAACTGATTGTTTTCTGGGCCAAATTCTTGCTGCATCAAGCAACATAAAATAAGTTCTGCCTCTGGGTAAAATATTTGGCTGGTTAATTCTTTTCTTTGATGCGATAGAAAAGTAAGTATGTCATCGGGCCCTCTTTAGCAAAGTTTTTTCAGTTCTACCTGTACATAGGATAAGCAGATATTGATTAGTATTTCATTTCGGCATGCATAATTTTAGAAGGGTCACAAGAGACAAGGTAAACTGTTAATCTAACTCTGAAGCAGTGCAATGAAAGGGATCTCTCACCTATGTCTGTCTGTCTGTCTCTCTCTCTCTCTCTCTCTCTCTCCCTCTCCCACTCTTCCTCTCATCAAATAACATTTCAAAATCTCTATACAAAAGTCCATTGCAACTCCGATGAAAACCCTGGTAAATTTAGCCCCTGAAAACAAACAGGTCCCTTCCAATCTCAGGCAGCTTTTAATTTGTTCCATCAAAACGAGAGCAAAGGCTAATTTCTTTTCACCCCTTGCCCTTCCTTACTGATCTCTGGAAAAAAAAAACAATCTCAGGAAGATAAAAGACATCACTTGGTTTTGTGCGTTCTTAGCAGCTCTGCCGTACTGTCTTAACACCTTGTGACATTACCCTATTAGGATTTGGCAGGTGTTACAACTTTCATCCCTTATGCCAGGGCTCTCCATACTTGCTAACTTTTAAGACTTAGGGATCGCCACTCCCAGAATTCCTCAGCCAGCCATTCTGGCTGGGGAATTCTGGGAGTTGAAATCCACGAGTCTTGAAAGTTGTCAAGTTTGGAGATCCCTGCTTTATGCCTGAATTTCTTTTTTTGGTTGTAGTCCTAAGTACAGTTCAGCTGCTTAACCGCCAGTGGTTTCCATGCTAATTACACAGCCTCTTCTCAATTCTACGCAGCCAATGTGCTCTGTATGAAATGCAGTTGATGCTTCCTTTTAGCAGTTCTCTCTCAGCTCATGTCACACACACCCCCATTGCATTTCCTTTCGAGTAACTTGTTACTTATAGTGGCTTCATATGCAGTTTTGAATTATTTTGCCAGACGTGCAAGATACGTTCCTTGTCTATTTATTAATCTATTTATATTTGTATTTTAGCAAAGTTAAGTTAAAAACCTCACAGTTTTTTACGGTGCTACTTGAGTTGGGCGTCTCCTTCCCTGCCCTCACCCCAAATATTTCTGAAGTGTGAAGTTGGGCAAATGGAAAACTTCGTGTAGATCGTTTTCAAACTTTAAAGGCTGAATGGAGAGCGGTTCTTGAAAGCATTTCATATTATCCAATGTGGAATTCCTCCTTTTTGCATTGTGTAATACTGTGTATTGTTTCCTTCTAAATTATATGCAGCATTATATGAAAAGAGAGTATTGTAATAGTCTGGGGGAGGGTCCCCAAATTTGGCGGCTTTTAAGACTTGTGGACTTCAACTCCCAGAATTCCCCAGCCAGCATGGTTGGCTGAGGAATTCTGGGAGTTGAACTCCAGAAGTCTTAAAATTGCCAAGTTCGGAGGCCCTTGTATAGTAGAAATTTGAGAAAAGCCTACTGCCCACAGTTTCCTGGTACCCACTCTTGCCAAAAGAAAAAGAAAAATCAGAAATAAAAATGGCAGCTCTTTCCCTTGCCCAGCTTTTTACTTTTAAATGAGATATAATCTTCTGCCAAGTTACCCATTCTTGATTTACAGAAATAGGTCATGTTAGGATTACGGTTAGATAGGATGTAGAATGTCGCTATTTCCAAGTTATCCTTTAAGGCAGCTTTTCTCAACCACAATAACTTTTAAGATGCATAGATTTCAACTTCCAGAATTTGGGGGATTCTGGGAGATGAAGTCCATGCATTTTAAAGTTGCCGAGGTGGAGAAACATTTTTTAAGGAACAGAACATCTAAGACAGGGGTGTCCAACCTTGGCAACTTTAAGACTGGCTGGCTGGGGAATTCTGGGAGTTGAAGTCCACAAGTCTTAAAGTTGTCAAGGTTGGACACTCCTCATCTAAGGGGAAACTGAGGGAATGTGTCCATTTCAGGATGCTGTACAGTACTTGACTTTCCCAGTCAAGAAAATGGAAATCAGACTGGTTAGAATGGGTTTTAAGATAATGTCTTTATATTCATTTTTCTATTGACATTTCATCCTCCTCATGAATTTCTGATGTGCTTGGAAAGAGGAAATTTTTGGGTACTTCTTTAGGTATCTGCACTCATACTAAAAAGACCATTATTTCATCCCCTTTTGTTGGAATAAACGATCTGTTTATTGTAACCTGATTAGGCTCCGTTATAAATTACCTAGGCTAAAATTTCATTTTTAATTTTCCTTTTCAAGCCAGGGTGGCTGTTATTTGTAAATTTTCATTCTTCATAATAGATCATGCCTCTTTAGTACACTACAAGAAAATTGTCAAAGTATAAGCTTACAGTGTATAACAGCAGTGAAGTTCCTATTGAAGTTAGCTATTAATTTTTAGGCATGTAATTTTTTTTAAGAAACCACAAGGAATAAATAAGTATATTTTCTGCATGTAATCTTTAACTCACACTGTTAACTCCCAAAAAATTTAAAAAAAAGAAATTAAGTGACTAGTCAGTACTAAAAGAGTGACATTACCTTTATTTGCACAAAAAGCCAACCAATTTTAAACTGACATTCTTCAGTCTTGCGTCTGACAGGAGTTTATTGATCATGTTACTTGCCTTGGGGGGGAAAAATGTTGAGATGTACTCTATTTGGATGTCAGTCATTTCCTTTTTTTTTTTTAATCAAAAAGCACTTTTCAGATATATAGCATGTCTTCATTTTTTAGATATTGGTAAGATGATGCTTAGACTCGCTAATTATACTGTATGTTTTAATTTATGTAGGAGCTGAATTCAGGGCTCTGAATTAAAAAGCCAGCTTTAGTTTCTAGTTCTTACGGATACAGTTCCCGTTTATATTCCAAGCTGCAGTTATTTATATACCCTTGTTAGGGAGCAGAGTTAGAAAACCACCTTATTCCTTGGTAGCCTCCAGCTATATTCAACGTATTGTATTGAATACATACTATGCTAAAAAAAAAATCAGCACGCTTCAATTCTTGTTGGAGCTAATCAGCTGAACCACCCAGATGTAAAACCCTGCCAACAACAGAGTAGAAGAATATGAGAGTGGTTGAAATCACATTTGCACTCACTGGATATTTGTGCACGACACGTAGTATTTAGGTAAGGCGCACATAAAATCCCCGTAGGAAGCAAGCCCGAATTTGCATTTTTTTTCCTAGTCTTTATATATGCAGATATTATGCAAACGTGGCTTGAACCTTAGTGGATGCGGAAGTAAACCAGACATCTAGGATATGGGAAGCACCAGTGCAATTCACTCTTTGCTCTCCTGTTTGAGTAGACTAAAACCTTAAGTCTGAGCTCATTCCATATGATTGCATTAAATAGCTTACCTGGAAACAGAATATTATATTTAACAGGGACCTGCTTCCACAATTAAGTATGGCATTAACAGCTTGGATGATAGAGGCTATTTTACAGCTTCACATAGTGTCCGTCCCTTGAGGGGCAGTGAAGTTCTGAATTTTAAAGCTCTTATTTAATCACTAAATAAATGAATAAAATGTACAGTCGGTGCTCAAAGTAATGTTAAAATATATTTAATAGACTTTTGCATTTGATATTCATGAGCATGGATACATTTATATTTTTTTAAGAAAAAGAATTGTAATACGATGGCACTGTTTTTTTATAGCCAAAGTATAAAACGTATAGAAAACTGACATGTTGAAAACCGCAGATCTTGGGGGTTTTTTTTTTTCTCTCTCTCTCTCTCTTGCTATATCTTACTGATAGGATGGCTTATTTTGTAAGATCCGCACATTAAACTGCATGCCTTAAGCTCTCTTTAGAATTGTCTTGTTTAGAAATGATGGGCGCAGGCTTTGTAGAGCTACTTTGACTACCTTACGAGATACCGAACAACGTTAGAATAATTTATTTTACTTTTACAGAAGTTTTGTCATGTATTGACTAATTGTATTTTGGTAAATAAACTCCTTTGTTGAATACCTCGGTAGCGTGCTCTTGATTTACTCTTAGATGGACCACTTTAAAAGCAAACAGAGCAAAGTGGCAAAATTCGATTTTCTGTTGGTTGTTTTTTTTTAAAAAAAAAAAAATACACAGCCTGCAATCTTGTTAATCTCTGAGAGCAAAAGTAGATGATTTTGGGGGTTTTTTTTAATACGGAAACCTTTCCCAGCTCTTGAAACCTTTAAAAGGCATTCTATGAAGAAAAATGAATTGGTCACGGAAGATTAGAAGTACAAAGGAAACCGGATCCACCATCCGTTGTTAGTTCTGCATCTGGAGCCAAGTTGCACGTGGAAACCTTACAACGGTTCT